ATAAAATGTTAAAGAGACAGTCTGCACAATTTACACAATTGTTATTTACGTATATACACGTGTACAGATTTCTAAATGCTATACAAGGGACAAGTGCGCCATTTTTTTTTATCAATGTCTACCTTAGTCTCAGAAACATGATTTTTTTTAGCTAATTTAATCAGTATACTTCTGTTCACAGCTCAACGTCGAAATTGGATCCATCCTTCCATGTCTGTCCAGAATTTTCCGCTTTTGAAAGTTCACAAGACGAGTCGTCGAAAAAACATCTATAGAAATAGGAAAAGAAATTCCTAGTTTGAGATATTGTTAAAGGAATTATGCGATTTTCGTACGTTTCTAGTATTTCTGAAGACTATTTACATATATTCAACACTCAAAATCAACCCCCCAAAATAATGTATCTGTCCCTTTTAACCTCTGTTGATCAACCTGAATTTGTTTTAAAAAAGTGATTAAAAACAGAGCATTCTAATGTTAATCAAACAGTTCTGGTGTTGGGCCTTAAAACAGTTGATATTCTAGTTGAAACCTTCAGAATAAGTGGAAGTCATATTCCTCTATAATACAATTTTTCGTTTATTTTGCAAACAATACTTAGCAAATATAACATGTTAAATAACATTTCAAATAATTCGTGGAATCTAAATTGTTAAATTTTCAGATAAGGTAAGGGATCCATTTCTCTATGTTTTGGTTTGTTGTTTTCATCAATTCGAGCACCTAACATTTCCAACTATCTTAACAAATTGTACTAAAATCAGATACAATTGAAATTTGTCATATTATTGTTGGTTACAAAATGGAGTATTTTGTGACTACTTTAAGACGTTACCAGAAGTTTAAATGGATTGCAAGGAACGACAACTCTGTATGAGAGACTGGTCCGATAAAGGGACTCACTCCACTAATTCATTTGCCATCTCTTCGCATGTTAAAACACGAAATTCAGCCTTCTACAACTTTTTCCAGAAATCTCCTTGAAAGCTTTCCAATATGTCTAGTCGAATGAAAGCCTGATCAATCCTTAATGTCTCCTAAAAAAAATTCAATATATCATGACCATGAAAAATCTAGACCAAAAATTACTCAAAAATAGGAATGCAAAAAACCCTAAAAGGGAAAGAAGTCCTGTAGTTTCAGAAAGATTTGATAAGCCAATTGGTATTTGTAACATCACAGCTCAGTCAAGTTTTTCTAGAATTACAGGAATAGAATAGACGCTTATAAATATACCTCTCTTCCTTTTAAAAACCAATTTAAACCTATATTGGACAAACAAGGTTGGCTACACTGCTTTCGTCATTGAATATCGAGCTCGTGAAAAAAACAAGTCTACCTGCCTCTGTTTGTTGATAATCCACGTCATTCGGCAATTCTCGACAGTTTACATAAAGCGCATGCGTAACTTTCACGGAAGGTCGTTTATGTAAAAGAATTCATAAAACAATGAAACAAAAATGAAAAAATGAAAAAAATAAATTAAATCATAATTTTATAAACAAAAATATTCATAGAAAATAGTAAACAAAAATAATTATAGAAAATAGTAAACAAAAAATATTTATAGAAAATAGTAAACAAAAAATATTTATAGAAAATAGTAAACAAAAATATTCATAGAAAATAGTAAACAAAAATATTCATAGAAAATAGTAAATAAAAATATTTATAGAAAATAGTAAACAAAAATATTTATAGAAAATAGTAAACAAAAATATTCATAGAAAATAGTAAACAAAAATATTTATAGAAAATAGTAAACAAAAATATTTATAGAAAATAGTAAACAAAAATATTTATAGAAAATAGTAAACAAAAATGTCAAATTCGATACAAAATGAGAAATAAGTAAAATTAAAGGGACAGATTCGCATTTTTTGTTGAGTTGATAATTTGGGTATTGAATATATTATTAGTACTAAAAATATACGGAAATCGCATAATTTCTTCAAAAATACCTCAAACTAGGAATTTCACTTTCTATTTTTATACAATATATAAATTCATGCATTAAATTCAACAATATATGAGTTATAGTTCATTCTGATTTTCATAGTTTTGATGTCACCAGCAATCCTCGTATTAACGAACAACAATCTGATTTTTGAAAATGTTTCACCATTGAATTCAGTTTTAGATTATGATATAGGTCAGGAGTTTTCAATAGTAAGGATTTATAGGGGAAGGGAGGTAATAGTAAGGATTTATAGGGGAAGGGAGGTAATAGTAAGGATTTATAGGGGGAAGGGGGTAATAGTAAGGATTTATAGGGGAAGGGAGGTAATAGTAAGGATTTATAGGGGAAGGGAGGTAATAGTAAGGATTTATAGGGGAGGGGAGGTAATAGTAAGGATTTATAGGGGAAGGGAAGTAATAGTAATGATTTATAGGGGGAAGGGGGGTAATAGTAAGGATTTATAGGGGAAGGGAGGTAATAGTAAGGATTTATAGGGGAAGGGAGGTAATAGTAAGGATTTATAGGGGAAGGGAGGTAATAGTAAGGATTTATAGGGGAAGGGAGGTAATAGTAAGGATTTATAGGGGGAAGGGGGGTAATAGTAAGGATTTATAGGAGAAGGGAGGTAATAGTAAGGATTTATAATGCAATCGATCAAGTATCCTGAAAGGGCTAATAGAAAGAAAACGATTGAAAATCCCTAATAATAAATGTACACAACATTACCATGTATTGTTAGAAGAGATATAGTAATAAATATACAAAATATACAATACTGGCTGTGTCAGTCTCAAGAAAGGGGTGTGTTGAAACAATAACAAAAAAGGGGGTTCCCGACATTGACGATATCCACACACTTAGGTAAGTGTCTTTAGATTCAAGTGGAATTGAAACATATGATCAGTGGCGGTGTAGTTTTCAATATCTTGTGTACGTTAGCTTCAATTGGTTTATTATTGTTGAGATTCATCTATTGCGACTCCGTGTTATAGTAGACGGGTGAAGATTGATTTGAGATGTTCACAGGATTTCTAGAGTCTGAAAATATAAAAAGAAAATTATGTACATATATATCGAATACGTTGTAAATTTATTGTAACAACAGTGTTGCTGTCAACTGATTCATTTAACTGTGATTGAAGGCATTTTATGTGGAAAGTATCTTCATCACATTTTTATAGGTGATGTAGCCTAGGTTATTGCAGCCAGCGCTATGAATACATATTTTCAAATTCGCGAATATTGAGTCGTAAAATGAGCTGTCAGACTGTTGGAAGATTTAAGACAGGTCTTAACGAAGTAAGAAAAAGATGCGATATACTTCCCTGTACATTTTCCGCTTTGCGTAAGATAAAAATAGACTTGATTACAATATAATATAGTAATGTATTTGTAGTGTCCATTGCATAGAACGCCTCTGATGATATATGTACGAGAGTTATGTCCCTTAGAAACAGGCTTGTCTTTCCTTTGGCCACATAGCTTTTTTTAAACTAAATTTAAATTTTCTCCAAATTACATCAGCAGGTTTTAGCCGGCTGTCGGCTACTTTTGAACCCACTGCTGATTGTGTCAAAGAATATGTAAATCAATCTATTCCATAGAGCACAATGATTCAGGCGTTATCACTTTCATCTTTAAATTTTAAAAACTAAGCTTGGCATGAGAAATGTTTTGTAGCCATGATCTATAAGCACAAAAATATAAAAAGTCGACGAGTGACGTGGTATTCTGTTTTGATAATGTACGACTTGGAAAGTGGGAAGTATCTGACATATACAGTTTTATGAAATATTTTGATATATATACAAACCTATATCCTCATAAATATGAGCTTCTGTTGGTTCTGTACTTTCATACACACTATAAATAAAATATATTCTTTAACAATTATCATTGTGTTTCTGTAAACTAATAAAACAGGCAGATTCGGGGTTTTTATGTGTAATGTGTTTTTTTTCTGCAGGTTTGTATACTTGTGTTCAATGATCTGAAGAAATACGTATTCAAATTGAAATCTTAAGACTTTTTAAGCAATAGCATCACACGTTTTCATTCTCACTAACCAATCAAAAACATTGTAAAATATGAAAGGAAAAACCTTAATTGGAAGAAATGAAACCGTCTGAGAAAATTCGTTGTTAAATCGAAATTTGTCTATTTTTTAACCAAAGTTAATTCGACTATCACATTTAGGCTACAACAGTTCTGATAAAAAATATAAATGCAGTGCAGTGTGCAGTGAGGGAAATTTTGCCAGGACAGCGGCATTAGCCTACTCGTGTTCGATTTTCAACAGTCGAGGGATCTTTAACGTGCACAACCTGTAGCACACGGGGCCTCGGTTTATTGTCCCACCCGAACGACTAAACTTCTTTTCCAAGTCACGCAGATCGAGATTTGAACTTTAAAGCTCTTTTGAGATTGTCTATACTCA